AAAAAAAATAACCACATCTGATTGTATTTTAATGTACAAGAATCTTTTTTTTTTAAAGGACTTCATGTAGTAAACCTCACCCCCCCCTCCCCATAATAGAAGCCCATCCAATATTAGAATCCCCCTCTGGAGGATTCGATATGCCAGATATATTAGAAGCCCCCTTATTTTAAAAACTTTTCGAAAGTTTTTTGAAAACATTTTTTAGTATTTTCACAGCAAAACTTAAAAAATTACAAAATTTTAAGGTAAAAATGCGTTAAATTCTTAGTTAACCGTATTAAAATCTCAAAAACTCCTTCAAAAACCCTCAAAAATCTGTAAAAAACTCTGAAAATCCTATTAAGGCTTTTGAAAAACTTTAGTACCTAAAACCTTCGAAAAATCATAGGACATAATAGAAGCCCCCTCCAAAAAACTTTTATGCTGGATACTATAGAAGCCCAGGGGGGCTTCTAATATGGGGAGGGGCTTATGTGATCCACATCGACACTAACACAATATATAATAAAAATTCATAAGATATATTAGGGATGCAACAAATCTTCAGATAGATTTGAATTTGGTACTAAATCTTTAAAATTTGGAGTTGGATTTGAATTTGAATGCAATATTTGGTTTCAGGTTTGAATTTATAGTCTAGGTTTGAACATAGGTTTGATTTTGGAGGTTTAGGTTTGAATTTAGTTTGGATTTATTCATCATTTGCCCCAAATTCAAAGGATTTGGTAAGATACAGCGTCATTAACAACAGTTTACTGTACTAGGGATAGGATACAATCAGAAAAGGATTTAGATATCTAAGACCAAATTCAACTCTAACCACAAACGGTTTGAAACCAAACCCTAAAATTTTTTCCTTCTATCCTATCCCTATTAGAGTAGATTATTGTTTGTAACGCTGTATCTTAACAAATCCCTTGGGCTTTGGGTCAATGATGAACAAATTCAAACTAAATCCAAACCTATGTCCAAACCTATACTACAAAATCCAAACCCGAACCCAAATCAAATCCAAATCTAATTTCAAGTCCAAACCCAATGATGTCAAATCCCAAACGTTTAGGTTTGTTGCATACCTACTTAGAATTAGAAGTAAGGCAAGCTCGGATTCGGATCCAAAAAAAGCTTAGCCAACTGAGTTTGGATCAAAAAATATTCGATTCGAAGGCCTCTACTCTAAATGTTACCTTCTTATCATTCCATGATAGATACAGAATTATTCAATTATTAAAAACTCAATTAATTACAAATACTGAATTTATATTTAGACATGGTGCTTGTGTTAGTATGAATGTTTTTTTTCTATAAACATTTCATAAGATATAAATATTTGATATTAGATGATGATGAATGTTCAAGAGGAAGTTCAATATGTCCAATAAATTCATTGTGTCGTAATACTCCAGGATCATATGTTGTATGTAAATTTTTATTTAACAAAACAAACTTTTTTATATTTTTGAAAGTGCGATTGTATTTCTGGATATAAAATGATAACTGAATGAGCCTTTTGGGATGATGAATAAATATCTAATATGAATATAAAATTATTTTGTTTTTTTTTATACACTCCTTCCCCACCAAGAGAATTATGTGAAAATTCACCATATTATGAAGCTATTAGACAAAAAGGTTATGAAGTTTTATTTGTTTATGAATCACATGATGAAGTTTTACTTATGCAATTAGCTGAATTTGATAAGAAAAAATTAAAATCAGTTGAATCAGAACTTGAAACTGATACAAAAAAAGATGATGTCATTCTTGAAGGAGGTAAGAATATACATTTTATTTATTAAAAATTTCAATGACACATTCGATGAATTATTTGTTTCGAAAAATTTAATCGATAGAGTTTTCATGTATATTAACAAATAAAGCTAAACACATCATCTATATAAACATTGACTATTTTAATTAGTAATTCAAACAATGTTTTGAGTAATATGAAAAAAAAAAGTTTTTTCTAAAATTATTTTTATTCTTAGATGTAAACTCATAAATAACATGATTTTCATGCTAAAAACTTTATTTGAATGAATAGCTAGTTAAAAAAACATTCCACAACTGTTTTAAAATAATATTTTATCGATAAAAGATAGAAACCATGTGACTTTTGTTATTGTCTTTCATCTATGTAAGATTTTAACAATAGGAATGGATGATTTCGAACCAGGATGAGAGCAAATGATATATTAGTATTAAAAGGAAATGAAAACTAACAATGCCGACATAGTGCAGGAAATGAAAGAACTGATTTCAATTGGAAAATAGGCATCTTTACAAGTATCTAGTCATATATCGTCCCTCGAAATGACTATTTTTAAAAAAAAAATAATTCATAATAAGTATTCTTTCAGCTTTATATAGATAAAATAACTGCAAAAAAAAGCACAATAAATGCAATTTTAATGTGATTCAAGACGAATGGATCATTTATGGTCCATTCTACATCTTCACATTGAAATGACTTCGTTGAAATTTGATCATATCGATTTCTTAATCAGCACTTGCATAAGCTACTTTTATGGTTGATTTAACATCAACTCTATTAGGGGGTAGATGTGGGAGAGGTAAAGAGTTAATACTAACTATAATTTATATGTCAATAAAAATCATTTCTTATAAGAGCATAAATTAGTTTTTTCATATGAAACATGTATATTACTTAAATACAAAAAAAGCAAGCTAGCATTAAGATTAACACATATCTTTCATAAAATGATCATGTTATCTAAAATGTTTTTCATTGTTATTATATTTCTATGTCAATGTGTATTAGAGATTTGATTTTTAAAATGCTCTTCTAGGTATTCGATGTAACAAAGAAAACAATATTTTATTGAATTGTCAAATATAAAATAGATTAAAATATATTGAAGGCGATCGAGAATAAGATTAATATAGTTTATGATGATTATTTATTGTAATATTTTATGAAACACAATTTAAAAAGATTGTTGAAGTATAGAGGTAGAACTTTGGATTCATTCATCTTCATCTCTGCACAGACTGTAATAGACATTGTTGACATGCCATTAAAGATTATATGTCAATAACATTTCATTCTAATATATGCATTACTTGTTTATAGCATTTCTGGAAGATTAAGTAAAAGGATAATAAGGAAATCTGCTCCAAAATAGATATGATAAAGCAATCTCCTGTGGTTAACAACAACAGCTACATAGTGTTCTACATTTTAATCTCACAGGAATTCTGCTAACAGCTTTTTGAAAAGAAATATAACAAGAATTCAAGATATAATTATTGTCAGTACATAGTTGTTTTTATACGATCATATATATATATACTGATCTTTTAAACTTTTATGAATGTAGTCTGTAATCTCTATGTCCATCATCAGTATCCTTTTTCTTAAATACATAGACTATTTTTTTTCATCATATGAAGGACTATTACTATAATAAAACATAGATTTCATCGAAATTTGAATACTTGAGTAAATAATAATCTTATAATGTATTTATTCTCTAGAAAGACATTTCTTTTTTCTATTGATCACATCTATTTAGATACTCGTAGTTTAACTCAAGATGAAGCAAATACATTAAAACAATGGATACTTAAACAATTTGGTGATAAAATCAAAAATGTTAAAGTAAGTATTCTTTCCATATGTTTCTTTAAAATAAGAAGGATACATAAGAGACTTTATTTTTATGTCCTATTTAGTTTTCATTCATTGTTGACTTGTTTGATACAGAAGTTTATGAGGAATCGTTTGATTGCAAAATAAAACAATTTCTAAATCGTCTGAATACATTTTTGCTGAAAATATTGATATTCACTTATACATCATAAGTAGATAATTCATACAAAGAAGAATGCACTGTGTACCTTTTCTCGTAGCAAGACATTTTAAACTGAAAACTATGTCAATCGACTGTATATCCTATACTTTATTTTCGGTGAACATTTCAACTCGAATGATTGAAGTATTGATATAACTATTGTTTCAAACAGGTATGAGAATCATATATTTATATGAGTACTTCTGCTTACTGTTTTCTTAATATCTCGCGTAAAGAAAAAAAAATAGTAACATGAAGTACTACTGATCAATTCTAATAGTTCGAAAGAAAAACTATAAAAAATATATTATTTTTAGTTTTTCTAGAGGTAAACTTTGTTAAAAGAAAGTGCACTTGAATTTCTTAAAATCATTATTTTTTAACATTTTTGACTAAAATTTAATCGATTTCATAGAGAAAAAGTGTAATTTGAATCTAAAAAAGCTGTTAGCTTTATCCCTTGCGGGATTAAAAATGTGAAACACGATGGACTTATTGTTACTAATTAAATGGGCATCGTTTTGTTCCATTTCTTCAAGATAGATTTGTAGCTTACCGTTTATTTGATGTTTCAAAACTACAATTTCTCTGTCACAGTCTGTGATGGTCTCTGGCAGTTCTCTGTCACGGTCTGTGATGGTTCCTGGAGTTCCTCTGTCACGGTCTGTAATGGTCTTCGGGAGTCCTCTGTCACGGTCTGTGATGGTTTCCAGAACTCTCTGTCACGGTCTTTGATAGATATTACGGTTTCTCTGTCACGGTCTTTGATGGATATTAGGGTTTCTCTGTCACGGTCTATGATGGGTATTGGAGTTTCTCTGTCACGGCCTGTGATGGGTATGGAATTTCTCTGTCACGGTCTGTGGGTGGGGGGGGGGGGTGCAAATTTCTGCCCCTAAACACTTCAACACTCCTTTCAAATCGTGTTTCACAAAACAATAACATATTTTGAATCATCATAAAAACCTAGATGAACTTATATGTGTTTCGAAGTTTGTGTCGAACTTCTTTTTTTCTCAAAAAATTCAGTTGAATTTTTCCCTCAGGATCCTCTAGTCAAAAACAATGAATTCAATTAGAAAATCATATGAGCAATGAAAAACAAGTTCTTAATTTGAATAACATCATTAGATGATAAAGGAAAGAACAACTAAACAAAAAATAATCGTATCTTGATTGAATTCATTTTTTTTCTGACTGAAAGATTCTGAGGGTAATCTCAGCTGAATCTTTTGAGAAAAACAAAGTTCGACGCAAAATTTGAAACACATATAAGTTCACCTAGTTTTTTATAATGACTCAAAATATTTTATTGTTTTAGACTTACGTTACTTGTTTTCTGTCTGAAAATTTATGCAATTCATTCTTCTATGTTTGAAACAAGTTATGAATGGATGATCTGAAAGAAAAAATCCGACTTTTGTGTACTGCTGTCTTTTCATGAAATTTGTTTTTTTTCTTCTTTAGATCAATACAAAACTTGATCAACATCCTTGTATAATAACAACAAATAAAATGGGTGCTGTTCGTCATTTCTTAAAAACAAATCTACTTCAAAGAAATAAACAACAAGAAATCTATAAAGTTCTTCAACTTAATTTTGATATTAATCCAAAACATATATTAATTAAAAAACTTTATACACTTCATAAATCAAATAATACACAATTAGCAACAATGCTTGGTCAACAAGTATAGAATTTTGAATTTATATTTGGAAAAAAAATTAATTTTTCTTTTTTCTAGTTAATCGATAATGCATTGGTTACAGCTGGTCTAGTTGAAGATCCACGTTTAGTACTTACGGGTTTAAATAAATTATTAGAAAAAGTACTTGAAAAATATTAGAGAGAGAATTAAAACAAAAACAAGAAGCAAAGAAAAGATCAAATTGTTTTGTTTTGTTTTTTCTTTTGTTTTGAAATAACAAGAAAAATGAGTTAACACTTATATAAAACAAATGTATATGTTGGGAAGATATTGTATCAAATAAAAATAAACAAAAGAAGAAAAAACAAAAAGAAAATAATTAGTTTATTTGATTGTCATTTTGATGTATT